CAATCAGCATCTGAAAAACATTCAATATTAAGATGACCATGATCTTTATATAACAAGCCACGTCCAGGAGCACCTTTCAAATAACATAGAATATGTTCCAATGCGATCTAATGGTCAGTCGTAGGAGAACTCATAAACTGACTGGATAAGCTATGTCTGGCCTCGTAACCGTAAGATAATTCAACTTCCCTACTAACCTCCTATACTTCTCAGGATCTTCCAACAACTCCCCTTCCTTTGTAAGTTGTAAATTAGGTATCATTGAGGTACTACGCGGCTTAGCAGCTAACTTTCCTGTTTCAGTTAACAAGTCAAGTACATACTTTCTTTGTGACAAAAGGATCCCCTTCTTGCTCCTTGTTACTTCAATTCCTAAGAAATATTTCAACATTCCCAAATCTTTAGTATGAAATTGACTATGAAGAAAAGACTTGAGTGATAGGATGCCTGATGAATCATTACCAGTAATCACAATATCATCAACATATACCACTAGTAAGATAACACCAGACTCAGATTTTTTATAAAAAACAGAATGATCTGACTTACTCTTCTTCATTCCAAAATTCTCAATCACCTGACTGAATTTTCCAAACCATGCTCGCAGACTTTGTTTCAATTGGTCATGTGTGTGAAGTCATGGTTGTTTATTGGTTTAGAATTCCAGAGTTTTAAACCAAAAGGACTGAAGGACTTAAAGTAATATGCACTTTATTGCTGCCGCTGTTGGATACGTACAGCTGCTTGTGGGTGTGAACTGTGAAGTCATGGTTACTTATTGGTTTAGAACACTGAAGAGTATGGATAGGGTCCAACAGTGGGGTTGGAGAGTGCTATAGTCCTGCTGCGTAGATCAGAGTTTGAAATGCAGTACCCTGCAGTTCTGGTGCTGAGTCTCACTGGATAATTTCCTAGTCTGCATGATTTTTATGTATGCCTGGAAGTGTATGGTACGTTAGGATTTAAGTATCCCATTTTGTGTTCTCTTTCTTGAGTACATTTTTTGATACGAGAAAAGAGAGTAGATGCTTGTAGTGTAGTGGTAGGAGGTTTAGAGTGTCGTGCATTTAAGTGGTTGCTTGTGGGCTAGGGCTATGGTTTCTAATTTATTAAAAAATTTTCCTCTTAAATTTGTCACATCTGAATGTATCCTTCCAGTTGGCTCAAGCCTTTTGTTCTTATTCTGTTCTTTCATTGTTCTCAGTGAAAGGTTCGTTTCTTATGGGAAAGAGTTATTAATTTGAATAGTGATCTGATATAAGACTGTTTATCTCAAGGGATGGTGCTGATTCTTTGATGTACATCTCGTTTATCTAGAGGAATCAGCTTTTTCAGGAAAAGGAAACAACTATTATTGGTATTTGCTCACCATGAACTTTCTTCTCATTATACATGCATTTGCTAATACTAGGTATGGTGCTGACGTTGCAAGAGGTGTAGCTGAACTGCATGCTGCCGGTGTTGTATGTATGAATATAAAACCATCAAACCTTCTCTTGGATGCTAGTGGTCATGCAGTGGTTTCTGATTATGGACTTGCTGCTATACTAAAGAAGCCTCTGTGCTCAAAAGCTAGATCAGATTGTGATTCATCGAAGATGCACTTGTGCATGGAATGCGCAATGCTTAGTCCACACTACGTTGCTCCTGAAGCATGGGAGCCTGTTAAGAAGTCGCTGAATTTGTTCTGGGATGATGGGCTTGGTATGTCTATAGAGTCAGATGCTTGGAGTTTTGCCTGTACGTTGGTGGAAATGTGTACTGGTTCTATCCCGTATGTGTTTCTCAATCCTGTAAAGTGATTTTCATCCCTCTTCTCTGGTTATCAGGTAGTTATACAAGTATTGATTTTGTTCTGCAGGTGGTCTAGTTTATGCACAGATGAAATTTACCGAGCTGTTGTAAAGGCTAAGAAACTACCTCCACAATATGCAAGTATTGTAGGTGCTGGCATACCTAGGGAATTGTGGAAAATGATCGGTGACTGCCTGCAGTTCAAGGCTTTGAAAAGGCCGACATTCAACACAATGCTAACAACATTTTTTCGCAATTTGCAAGAGATTCCGCAAAGCCCTTATGCAAGTCCTGATAAGTAAGAAATTCAAACGTCTGTTCTCACATTAGAGCATTTGGTCTTTGCATTGTTGGAGCTGATGTCTTAAGAACCAAGATAGCTATTGGTGCTTTTAGTTTTCTTACACAAATTTCTCATCTTTTTTTTTTGTGTAAAAGCAGTGACTTAGCTAAATGCTCTGGACCCTCTATCCCAGAAACTGAAACCTCTCTCACGTCTGATTCAGAAGTTTTTCGTTATAACTCCAGTCATCTACACCGCCTTGTGTTTGATGGAGACTTCAGTGGTGTTAGGCAAGTTGATAATGGTTAGAACATTATTGTGGTTGTTAAGTTAAAGAAACAAATACAGTTAAATTGTAATTCCTCCCTCTTGCTTTGCAGAGATCTACTTATAAAAGCTGCATCGGGAAACTGTAGCAGCTCAATCTCTGAACTGTTAGAAGCTCAAAATGATGATGGTCAAACAGCTCTCCACTTGGCCTGTCAACGTGGTTTTTCTGAAATTGTAGAGGCTATTTTGGAGTTCAGGGAGGCTAAGGTTGACATTTTGGATAAAGATGGAGATACTCCGCTAGTGTTTGCTTTAGCTGCAGGATCCCCAGAATGTGTTCGGGTTCTCATTGAAAGAGGTGCTGATGTTAGTTCTAGGTTGAGGGACGGGTTCGGCCCATCTGTTGCTCATGTCTGTGCCTACCACGGCCAACCTGATTGCATGCGTGTAGGTCTTTTGTTGAGCTCTTTTTATCAAAAGTCATTTGGGTAGACACATTTTAATGTTTTGCAAAAGTTGATTGGATCCCTTCATACTGAAATCTGCATAGGAGTTACTGTTGGCTGGAGCTGATCCAAATGTAGTTGATGATGAAGGTGAATCAGTCCTGCACAGAGCAGTCACCAAAAAATGTTCGGATTGCGCTCTGGTCATTTTGGAAAATGGAGGATGTAGATCAATGGCTTTATTGAATTCAAAAAATCTTACGTAAGTAAAACATCTTTCTAATTAAGTTTTTTGTATTAGTTTGCTTGCAGCAGGGGTTACCTCTACCCCCAACCTTAGGTGTCTTTCTCTTTCTCTTTGATATATGATCTCTTATTCCAAAAAAATTTGAGCTTTTCTAGAGTCTGTATATGAATGAATAAATGTCTCTGAACTGAGTGGTTGTGCAGATTACAGTATTAACGGCATTCACCTAGCCTGTGTGTGTATCTTGTGCAATAGGCAATAAGAATATTTTCTGTCTAATTGAAGTGCTGATGTTCCATCTGTTTAACAGCTTCTAAAAGGATGTCTTACTAACATCTTATTGATGTTTTTATGGTGTTGCTGGAGTCTCATTAGTTGAAACCTCAAGTTATCTGTAAAAACAGTCAAAATGTTCAAGAATATCAGTGAAGAAAATACGTCCAACTGGATGACCTGGGCTTTTTTTTTTATTATGAAACACATTTTTGAGGATATCCATTCCTGAATCTCTAAATTGCCAAGATTTCTTTTGAAGATAAGGCTCCAATTCCCATAAACACCATTTTGGAATTCTTTACAGTTTACATTCCCCTTCGATGACCATTTTTTTTTCAATCATTTGTGCCAATTGGAAAGTTGTTGGAAGGCATGTTGATGGTCCTTGGAAAACTATATCTCTTTGTTTTCCACATTTTAGTAGTCTTATAAATTTCTCTGTGGAGAATCACCTTGTATCTGTTTTGGGAAAGATCATAGAATTAGTAATAATTCCCTTTGTAAGCTCTTTTCTTGCCTCTACAAATCTTTGTCCGGAAAGATGCTTTTATTAATTCTATGTTGCTGTGTTTGTCACTCTTTTGATATCCGGAACCTAGACATTATTCAATCTGCAATCAGGGGAATCTTGGGGTGAAGCAAAAACATAACTTTTCGTACATGTTTGAAGGATTTACTTTTGACTTTGATATGAGGATAGTCTGAGAAATTATTTTGATTATCTAATCCTTTTCAGTATGTAGGCTTTGATTTCAAAATGCAATAGTTCATTTATCTTAATGAAAGCTCGGTTTCTTAAAAAATATAAGAATTGCTCATTTATCTTATCCAGTTGTCTGGAAAAGAATCAATCCATGAATTTTCTTGGACTACTGATCTATTCTTTTAATATAATTTTCATTCCGTCTACAAAAATGACACTTATCCAATAATTCTATTTTGACAAATTGCAAGGAGCACCTTCATATTTTTATTTATTCTGTTTTCAGACCCTTGCACATATGTGTGTCAGCCTGTAACGTCGCTGTTGTTAAAAGGTGGATGGAAATTGCAACTTGTGAAGAGATTGCAGAGGCGGTTGAAATACCAAGCCCGGCTGGAACTGCATTGTGTATGGCTGCTGCCCTGAAAAAAGATCATGAAAGTGGTAATGCTAGCAATTAGTCAATTGATGTTGCTAATAGTCGCATGTCATGGAATTTATAAGCAAACCCATTGATGGTAAGAGTTTTAATTTGTAAAGGTAGGCCATGGGTTTAAAACCCCTTTGACCAACTTCTAAAAAGTAAAAGTGAAATGAAAATATATTGACCTCGATGTTAACTACTTGAATGAACTATGTCTTCTGCAGAATACTAAGACTAGTAATTGGGAGTACTAATTAATTTCATGTTTCCTTATCAACTTGTTTTTGACGTCATCTCAATTCTTCTTGGAAGTTGGAACCAATTTACCACATCAGCTGTCTCCTGGTTGATGGCCACCCCAGTAATATAACTGTTTTTTTTTTTTAGAATTCTACACCACAAATTTCATTCTTGTCGTTGCATTGTTATTTAATTATTTTCCTTGAGTTCTAGTCTATAGAGTTATTTGTTCCTGCTTTGTTTGCACTTCCCCTTTCATCTTATTTTCTTTTAAACAATAAATGACTTGAAATGGCACCTCATTGGTTATTGCATGTTCTATTTCTTTTATATTCTTTCTGGCACTTTATTCTTCCCGATTCCAGTAATTTGTCCCATTTATTTGTTACTCTTGCTGCTTGTAGAGGGAAGAAGTCTAGTAAAGCTATTGCTTCATGCTGGAGCAGATCCAGCTGGTCAGGATACCCAGCATGGACGAACAGCTCTTCATACTGCCGCTATGGTTAATGATATTGAATTGGTCAAGGTATTATCACAAGTATTTAGATACTGCTGGTGCACGTGGATATGCTAAGAATAACATATCTGCTCTTACAACTTTTATTTTATTATTTTCCTGTACTTTAAAATTACTTTATTTTGATATATTTTTTAAATATTTTGGTTAGATTATCCTTAATGCGGGGGTTGATGTCAACATCTGCAATGTGCACAATACAATACCCCTTCATGTAGCCTTAGCCAGAGGAGCGAACTCGTGTGTTGGATTGCTCCTGGCTTCTGGGGCAAATTACAATTTGCAGGTTTGTTCAAATTTTCCTAAGATTGTTTTGTAATTATGATGTTGATCAAGTATCGAGTGGTATTCATACATGCATGTTTATTGATCAAGTATCGAGTGGTATTCATACATGCATGTTTAGCTCCTAGAGTTTGATGTACTCGCCTATTCCCCCGTCCCCCCAATTTGAGAAAAAGAATTACATGTTCCGTGTTACAAAGTAAAACAGATAAAAAAAAAAGAAAGAAAAAAACCTCGCAAACAATGCATGCTACAATAGACAGATGCAATTAAGTAGGCAAACATGTAACGAGTATATGCAATGGGATTCAATGTATGGCCTATTTTATGGCTTCATTAGCTAAAGATGTTTTACGCACTCAGCTTCTGGGAGTATTTCTTATGACTTTTCTCTTTTGTTATTGTTGGGTTTCTGGTCTCCTATACAATATACATATAGGTTTGTGTATATTACTCTTTTTCTTTTTATAAGATATTTTGTATGTTTTACTTCTATCAAGGAATATTTCCTTTTGATAGAATTGTTTGCCGATGACAATTACTTTTATGGTTGATGCTTCATCTTCTTTTCTCTCCTAAGCAGAATTTCTTATGCTATCTGCTTACAAATCTTGCCAATTGCTGTTAGGATGATGAAGGCGACAATGCGTTCCATATTGCAGCTGATGCAGCCAAAATGATACGTGAAAATCTTCAGTGGCTCATTGTGATGCTTAGGAACGCAGATGCTGCTGTTGAAGTCAGAAATCACAGGCAAGTTCCACCTGTCTGTACTTACCATTATTAATGTTGTATTCAAATCCATAGACTTTTTGCTGGTGCTGTGGCCCTAGAAAGAGAGTTAAAGTAACAATTTTTAGTGATGAGAAAATTTGTCTGGTGACAGTGGCAAGACATTGCGTGATTTCTTAGAGGCCCTTCCTCGGGAATGGATTTCTGAAGAACTGTTGGAGGCATTGGTCCATAGGAGCATTCATCTGTCACCTACAATGTAATGTCATGATGTTACCCACTCCTCCATGTACCACAATAACTGTATACTTCTAAAATTATTCATAATTACAGTTTGTGAATTTCAATCATGTCTAGATTCGAAATTGGTGATTGGATAAAATTCAAAAGAATGATTGCAACTCCTACTTATGGTTGGCAAGGTGCAAAGCATAAGAGCGTTGGTTTTGTGCAAAGCATCCTGGACAAGGACAACCTAATGGTCTCATTTTGCTCTGGAGAAGTGCACGTGTTAGCAAATGAAGTTATAAAAGTCATCCCGCTGGATAGAGGACAGCATGTCCAACTTAAAAAAGATGTAAAAGAGCCCAGGTTTGCACGCATACAAATTTCTGTGTATATCAGTAGATGCTGTTATAGTGGCTTGATGAAAAGTGATTCTATATTCATATTTCGAAACCTGTTTATTTATTTATGTTTTTGAAAAGGGTGATGTGTTTATTTTTAACCTTGGAGAATAAAGTAAAACTATGAAACAGTAATTTTGTTTTTTCATTATTGTATGCATGCAACTAATCTATGTCAGGAATGGTCACATATTTATTTTAATATGTTTCACAAAAGAAGTTGGTTTCCATAAAAGAAAATTGGTTAAGATCAGGAAAGTAGGACAGTTACAGTACTTTTTGGTTGAAGCTGCGCAAACTACAGGGCATTGAGACAAAAAAGATCATGCATCTCTTGGACTTCTTTTTCCTGGCATAAAAGTTTTACGATTCCTTTCCTCCAAGTCTCCCATAAGATAGATATTTCAGAATTTAAGAGTCGTATTTTCTGAAGTCTGTTTTATAATTATTTGTTTAGAGCCAAAGCGAGCATAACTTGGTGGTAATGGACATATATCTCTAACGAGGAGGTTGTGAGTTCGATCCCCCACTCCCACGTGTTGTACTAAAAAAAAAATTATTTGTTAAGAGTTATGCCCTTTCAACACCTTTTTTCTTTTTCTTTAGAAGTCACTCTAGACAAAATTTATATTGCTAAACCATTCCATGGGGCTATGGACAACTGAAAAATAAATCAGGATGTTTGTTTTTTCCTCCTTTCTTTAATAATGTGCTTTCTTCCTCGTAGTGTTTACAGCTTGTAAAAACTTTGGTTTCTCGTTTGCTTAAAATCGACCTTAAGAGGAAATCAATTGCAAACATCATTACGAGATCATTTTTTTTGTTAGAATTCCATCAACAGAAAATTAAAGACTTGACAAAACTAGTAGGGTTTCTCTTGGACCAATGTTGAACAAAAACTATATCATCAAGCCTCTCTGGATTTGATTGCTTTATTATACGTGTAACCCTCTCACCTCATTTTTGCCTAAGCCTTGTTTCTTCTAGACGACTTGTATCATCATGTGCTTTATTTCAGGTAGCCATTCCCCCTTACCAGTTGAAACTACTATGGAAAACCCTTGACTTAGATTTTCAATACAATTACCAAAAATACAGTAGAATTTTTTTCTATGGGTTTTTTCTCAATTACAGGATGTTATATTTTGATTTATAGCCAATAAAAACTTTGATTCAAATACTGACAAACTTCAGTTTCCATTTTATAGATCCGGATAATTGGATCCAAGTTGCAGTCATGTGATTTATCTGTACTGGTTTGAACTTCGCTTATTTCTAACGGTACTAATTTATCTGTGCTGTATTAGGTTTGGATGGCGGGGACAATCACATGACAGCATTGGCACTGTTTTATGCGTAGATGATGATGGGATCCTCCGTGTTGGATTTCCTGGAGCATCCAGAGGATGGAAAGCTGATCCTGCGGAAATGGAAAGAGTTCAAGAATTTAAGGTTGGGGACTGGGTTCGCATCCGTCCCACTCTCACAACAGCAAAGCATGGGTTAGGATCTGTAACACCAGGGAGCATCGGTATTGTTTACTGCAACAGACCTGATGGTAGCCTATTGTTGGAATTAAGCTATCTTCCAAATCCATGGCTTTGTGAACCAGAGGAGGTTGAACCTGTCATTCCTTTTAGGGTAATGGGATCTATTTGCATACTTCTACAGGCACTTCTTTTCTTCTCAACTCTCATTTGGTGGTTCATTTTTCTGATCCTATAGATTCCGATTACAGATTGGAGATCAGGTGTGTGTTAAGCGCTCTGTTGCAGAACCTCGATATGCTTGGGGTGGTGAGACCCATCATAGCATTGGAAGAATTAGTGAAATAGCGAGTGATGGCCTCCTCATTATTGATATACCAAATCGTCCAATTCCTTGGCAAGCCGATCCTTCTGACGTGGAAAAGGTGGATGATTTTAAGGTAAATTCATTTTTTATGTTTGTCTCTACCTCATGATTTGACAAGTAGTCGCTTCATTATAGACCATGCATCTCTCTCTCACATAGGAATCTACCATTATTTCTCTTGGGTAGGTCGGTGACTGGGTTAGAGTGAAAGCTTCAGTGTCATCTCCAAAATATGGGTGGGAGGATATCTCAAGGAACAGCATTGGAGTTATTCATACGTTGAAGGAAGACGTCGAGATGGGAATTGCCTTCTGCTTCAGGAGCAAGCTTTTTTGTTGCTCATTGACTGATGTCGAGAAGGTGCCTCCTTTTGAAGTAGGTCAAGAAATACATATAATGTCTTCTGTCGCTCAACCACGTCTTGGATGGTCAAATGAAAGCCCTGCTACAGTTGGAAAAATAGCTAGAGTTGACATGGATGGGGCATTGAATGTGAGCATATCCTACTACTGTTTTGCATTATACTGAGAAATATTTTTCCCCATGGTGGAGTAAAACATCACATAACGAGCCGCAAGGTTGTCATCGATATTTCAGTTTCCCCGTACTCGTATTCTGGATTGAGTTTTGTTTTGTTTATTTTTATGCAGGTCAAGGTGGCTGGGAGACAGAGTTTGTGGAAAGTTTGTCCGGGGGATGCAGAACAACTTTCAGGATTTGAAGTCGGTGATTGGGTACGTTCAAAGCGTAATACTGGAAATAGGCCTACTTATGACTGGAATATTGCTGGAAGAGATGGTTTTGCAGTGGTGCATAGTGTACAGGAAAGTTTGTTCCTTGAGTTAGCTTGCTGTACTCGTAGAACCAGGTGGCTTGCTCATGCTTCAGATGTTGAGAAGGTTCCGTGCTACAAAGTTGGGCAGTATGTTCGATTTCGCCCTGGAATGTCTGAGCCAATGTGGGGTTGGAGAGGGGCTCAATCTGATTCACGGGGTATAATAACTAGTGTGCATTCTGATGGTGAAGTTAGGGTCGTATTCTTCGGTGTCCCCGGGCTGTGGAGGGGCGATCCTGCAGATCTCGAGATAGAAGAAATGTTTGAGGCAGGAGAGTGGGTTAGAGTGAGAGAGAAGACCGACAAATGGAAATCAATTGGACCTGGAAGTATTGGGGTGGTGCAAGGATTAAGTTTTGAAGGGGATGAATGGAATGGAAGAGTTTGTGTGCTGTTCTGTGGTGAGCAAGAAAGTTGGGTTGGCCCTATTACCCAATTAGACAGGGTGGATCGGTTAATGGTCGGACAGAAGGTTCGGGTTAAATCATCCATAAGTCAACCGAGATTCGGTTGGTCAGTCCACAATCGTTCAAGTGTTGGAATGATATCGGCTATTGATGCTGATGGAAAGCTCAAGATATATACTGCGGCTGGGTCTAAAGCTTGGATGCTAGATCCAGCTGAAGTAGAGCTAGTACAAGATGAGGAATTTCATGTCAGAGACTGGGTTCGGGTCAAGGCATCTGTTTCGACACCGACCTATCAATGGGGCGAGGTGACTCATTCGAGCATCGGGGTGGTTCATCGCGAGGAAAATGGAGAACTTTTCGTTGCATTCTGCTTCATGGAGAAGAAGCTGTGGGTTTGCAAGGCATGGGAAATGGAACGGGTGAGGCCATTCAAGATCGGAGACAAAGTGAGGATTAGAGAAGGGCTTGTCAAACCTCGTTGGGAATGGGGAATGGAGACTCATGCAAGCAAGGGCCAAGTGGTCGGAGTCGACGCAAATGGGAAGTTGCAGATTAAGTTTCGATGGAGAGAGGGCAGACTGTGGATCGGAGATCCTGCTGACGTTGTTCTTGACGATAACTAACACGACGAGGATCCTTTGCCATACCCTCCACATCTAAGTTGGCTCATGAGCCTAATGGCTTCAACTCCTCCCATTAGCTCCATTTTCGCTGCAAAACCGAAACTGTTACCACCATCACCACACTAGGCTAACAAAACATCCTGGTTATGAATGTAAGTTGCACGGTACCGCATGTCGTTAATAGGGCAGGATGTACAGTGGGTAAATGGAGGAGTCCGAAGGGATGGACTTTGTAATCGTAGGAAACACAAGGAGAGCTATGCTGCAGATCTACCCTTGTTTAGTAAACGATATTTATAGCATCAGATAACCTTACGAGTTTCGGATATATATATATATGTATGTATGTATAACACACGATTATTATGAGTATTGTACAAATAATATATTTAGTTATAAAAATTCTGAACATTAATCTTTCAATGTTCTGTGGCTGATCTCTGCCCCTTCACTTGCCCCTTCACTGGCTTCATGTTGGTGAGTAGAACAAGAACAGTTGTATTTATTTACAATAAATAGTTCAGGACAAATTTCAAGACAAATATTTAGACAGTTCTTAATTTATTTTATAAAAAAAGAAGAAGTTAGGATTTCAAGTGCATATTACAACAAAGTATATATATATAATGGAGTTCCTTCGTAGTTGCAATTTAGTTAAAAAAGAAAGCAGATCTATTAAAGAGAATATTTGTCGGGGTGAAAATGGGAATGAGGAGTTCTAATTTCTAAGCTAAGCCATAATTATTCTTTAAGAAATCACTATTTAAAAAAAATTAATGATTGATCTAGGTTGAAATACTACTTTCAAACCATTCAATTTTTTTTTTTGCTCAATTATTAACTTTTTGTTCATTTTAGTTGCATTAGTTTCTATACTTTTTCGATAAAAAAAAACCAAGAGGTTTAGTCCTTATTTGTAACCTTTTAAGTTTTAAAATAATTTTTATTTACAATAAATTTTGTTTAATACAAATTTATGGCTATATTTAAAAAATTTTAGTGCGTAAAGTGTATTGCTAAAATTATGAAAAAAAATGAGATAGAAATAAAAACGAAGTAACTAAAATATTTCGAAAGTACAAGAACCAAAATAGTATCTAAATGCAAGTCAAATGTTGAATGATTATTTTCTTCTAGCACAACAAGTGGGGGAGAGGATTCAAAATCATGACTTCTTTGTTAGAGATAAATGTCAATTATCGCTGAGATAGAAATAAAAATTAAGTTAAGTAACTAAAATAAACGTTTCGAAAGCACCTAAACCAAGATAGAGATTTTGAAAGTACAAAAACCAAAATAGTATTTAAATGTAAGTCAAATGCTGAATAATTATTTTTTTTTATTACAACAAGTGGGGGAGATGATCCGAAATCATGACTTATTTTGTTGGAGATAAATGTCAATTACCGCTGAACTGAACTCATGTTAACGCTCAATAATTAATTGAGGCTTGTTAATATTAATTTTACAATGCACGAATTATTCCATAATAATTTTTTTTATTGCTAACTATATTTTAACGAATTTAAATAATAAATCCCATGACATTTTTAAAGGAAGACATCAATTAGTTGAAGATCTTCATTAACCTCCACAATTATAATAATTAAAAAGAAAAAATGGAAACAGTGGGAATTGAGCCTATCATCTCTAGAGAGAAATCTATTTAGAAATATAAATGCTTTAGTCACTCAGCCATAATATATTATTTACATATTCAAAAAGAGGATTATCTAATTTAATGGGACAAAATGATTCACAATGACGATTGGGCCGGATTTTAGGGCCTCAAATGTTGATATAAAAGTTGTTGGGCCCAGGCCCAAAGTGAGGAAGTCCATGTTCATGTAAGAGGTCCTCTAGGGTTGAACCACTCCCCTCTATATATATTCAGCTTCCCGCGATTTCGCAGGACGAAGAGAGCGGCCGGAGAAGATGGGCAAAGCGGCGGAGCACGACTGCGGAATCCTCAGTGAAGGAGGTCGCTGCTTCTGCAAGAACAGTGGAATTGAGAAATCCGACGAGTCCATGGTCTCCTCTCACATCAGCGCTCACCATAAGGTTCCATCTCCTCAATCTCTGTCTTCGTTTCGTTTTTACTTCTGTTTCATCCTTGTTAGAGTTTCTGAGTTCATCTTAGTGTTCTGTTATGTTCAGACTTCGGTTGAATCTATTAGGGTTCTACTCGTTTACTTTTTCTTTTCACTCATTTGTCTGATTGACTATAGATCGCGATCAGGGCTTTTTTTTTTTTTAATTTTCTTTTAAGTCAGGTAAGAGTATAATTGTTTGTGTTGTGGACGTACGAAAGGAATTGTTAGACAGATTGGGTTGGGGCTTTATTCTTAGCCACTGCTATCGTTTAGTAGGAAAATTTACTAAGTTTTACAGAAGGAGTTGTTTTGACATTGATTGGATGTTAGGGAAGGCAAACTGTTAATCTGGATGTGTTATTTATTAATTTTATTCTTTTATAGATGGGGAGCGACACGCAGCAGGATGTTAGAGAAGGCAAAACAAAAGATGGAAAATCCAATATATGCCCGGAATGTGGTGCTGCTTTCAAAAAGCCTGCTTACTTGAAGCAGCATATGCTAAGCCATTCGCTCGAGGTATTATAAGATATTTCCACTTATAGGGATGTTAATGCAGAAAATCTGTTTAACTTTTTGCTTGCCGGTGGACTTACTTGGTATATTTATGTTCATCATCCAAGGCGTTTAAGGTTGATATTACTTCTAGCATTGTCTGATGACGAGATAAATTGTTATGTATAATCTACACACATGATTAAAGTTGGATGATTATTAGTTATCTAGGTGCTTGCTTTTGGTTCCATGTCCTTTTATTTTCTCATAAGTTGGTTTGAATTGTGTGCTATTTTGTTTACTTGATTGTCTCAGTACCTCATCTGGTCGCGTTCTCCTTAGAAGAAAAATTTATTTTTGTTTTAGCAGTCAATTGTCAGTGTTTGCCCTTTATATGTTGTGTCAGTTTGCATTTATTATGAATTGTTTAACGGTTCTTTGCTTTCTGAATACCTTCCTGTCAATTCACCATATTTTTTCATGCATTGAAGTTGACTAGTTTTGCAGGAACGAATTCTTAAATATATTAAAATAATGTGAAAGATCCTGGATATCTCAGCGTGAAGCATTGGATCCCACAATAAGAACTCCAAAATGCACGAGGCTGCATTTTCTTGCTTGAATGGATCAGTATCAGGTTGGGAGACCTCCTGAGAAGCTCCATCAAGTGGGCCTCGGTCACGCTTCAGTATTTTGAGGTTTGAAGTCTAGTAATTGAGAATGTTGGGAAGAGACTTCTTATTTGAAAATTTCAGTTGACCAATTTTATTGCATTATTTTTCTGCAGAGGCCATACATCTGCTCAATAGATGGTTGTCAAGCCAGTTATAGAAGAAAGGATCATTTGACTCGCCACCTACTCCAACATCAAGGAAATGTATTCAAGTGTCCAATTGAGAGCTGCAGCAATGAATTTGCAAGTCAAGACAGTTTGAAAAGACACTGGAAAAATTTCCATGAAGATGATGCTCGTCCTGAAGCTAAATGTGAGAAGCAGTTTGTTTGTCCAGAAGATGGATGTGGAAAGGTGTTCAGATATGGATCTCAATTGCAAAAACATGAGGATTCCCATGGCAAGTTCCCATCTTTTTATTCTCTACTAAATTTTAACTGCTTGATTTAAGATATCAATGTATTTATTCAAATTAACTGTAGTTAAGCTGGATTCAATAGAGGCATATTGTGCTGAACCGGGTTGCATGCGACCTTTCACCAACAAGCAATGTCTTAAGGCTCATATACAATCCTGCCACCAATATATTAAATGTGAGATATGTGGATCTGAAAAATTGAGGAAGAACATCAAACGACATCTACGTAAGCATGAAAGTGAAGGTCCACAAAAGATAATTCAATGCCCGCATGAGGGCTGTAGTAAAGTGTTTTCAACTGTAAGTAGCCCAGACTCTGTAAATTCCTTTATTGGTTAAACTACTTTTAGCTGGGCTATAAAGACTCCCAACGAATGCCATTATTGTTATTTAGACTGGATGGGATCTGATCTTTGATATGTTTCCTTGTTAATGATTCAGGATTCAAATCTCCGCCAACATATGAAGGTTGTGCACCTGGAACAAAAACCTTTTGAGTGTAGCTTTTCTGGTTGTGGCATGAGATTTGGGTACAGGCATGTTAGAGACAATCACGAGAGAAGTGGCCACCATGTTTACATTAATGTAAGTCTTGCATTGATAGAATTTCTATCTTTTCTTATAAAAGAAAACAGTTTGTATTCGTCTACTCCTGACGTCCAGAGAGAATATTTTAAAGAGTGTGTTACCCTGAAATCAGGGGGATTTTGAAGTAGCTGATGAACAATTCCGCTCAAAGCCAAGGGGAGGGCGAAAAAGGAAGTGTCCAACCGTCGAAATGCTCATACGAAAGAGGGTTACCCCCCCAAGTGAGTTGGACTTCATGTTGAATGAGGAATGCTAGCTAGTCTTTGGCTGCCACTTTGTTGGTAGGCATCCTATTCGAAAGGTTTCAAAGCCCTCTGTCACCAGTTCATGTCCATTTGATTCAAAGCCCTCTGTTACCAGTTCATGTCCATTTGAAGTATTTGATGCCTAACCAATGTATAGAATCTGTGTATAATAGCCCCTCAACCCCCATAGAGGGAAATAGAATAGTCCTTAGATATGGTATTGAAGTATTGTAGCTGTTTATTAGAAAGTTCTAGTAGTAGTTTTCCAAGCTTAGCTTAGTGGACAAAGTACTAATTTTCCACTCTGCATCATCTGGTGTAAAAGAAATTCTAGTATAGTTATTTTTGTGCCTCATTAGCAGAGTAAAATCAGGAAGTTCATTTCATTAATTCAGAACAGGGTTTTACTTTTGTTTTTACAGGTTTCAAATTAAACTTTAAGGTAAAGATTAAGTTTGTTTCTCACTATTTTGGTAAGAGAAATATTGTTTGTTGTGTATGATTACGTGAAACAGATACAGTGATGAACTTGGTGTATTTGATATTTCCATAACATTGTACGTGGGTTTGACATGGGATAAATTGATATTTTTCATAATTTTGTAAAAAATGTGAAATGTTATGTCGTAAATTTTAATGTTTTTTGCTTTTATAATACTGTCAGAAATATCCCATAATATTTCTCATAAAATTGTGATTTTGATATTTTTACGATTAAATTTTATTTTAGTCCTTCAAGTTTGTTATTATTATTATTTTCATAATAAGTTTGTTCTGTTTTGTATTTTAAACTTCATGTATTCCATTTTAGTTTTTGCTACTTGAAAAAATAATTATTATAGTATTCAAAATATGTTTAAAACCTAATTTTGTTTATTATTTTGTGTCTGAGCTATCAACCAACCTATGTGCTTTCAATATATGCTTGGATCAATATGTAACACATATTTAAAGCTATATTGTTTAAAGTTTACAATAAAACTGTTGTTTCGAAAATTTAAGGATAAAATAGAATAAATTTAAAAGCAAGCTTATAGACTAAAATAAATATTTTGAAAATTCAGTTCATTTAAACTTAACTGTTAAGTTACAGCTCAACTTAACGGAAATTGATGTCTAATAACTTTTAAAAGTAACCCTATTACCCATTGCTATAATCACAAAAAAAAATAAAATAAAAAAACCTCAATTACCCCAATCAAAAATTGGTACTGAGAATCTAGTAGAGTTCCATTTAATTTGATAACCTCATTCATATTGGAAATTGCATCCCAAAAATTGACCTGCAAAAGAACACTAAAAAATAATAAGTGACAGCAAGAAAGCATCTCCATAATTTTGAATAAATTTGGATGTTATGAAATGAGGTGAAGGGGGAGTGTATTTCCTCCAATTTACTCCATTTGATTCAATGACCAACTCTTTCAAATAAAGAAAAGTATCTTTGCCTTCTCATCTAAAAAGAATGGTCCAAACTAAGGGGTCGAATCAAAAGTTACCACTACTATATTCGCTAAAAGTAAACACGATGTTCTTGTTTTTTTAAACAAACATTCAAAACACATCATAAGATTTTATCGTGTTATATCTAAGTAGAGATCTTTCATGATGACTTGTTGTAATGTCAACTAATCAATTATCATCCTGGGTTCTAAAAAGACGTTCGACTGCTCGGTGACCGAATTAGATATCAATAAAGTGCAAACGCACCATTGCCGTTTTCTAAGGAAACAACTAGAGTCTTTAGCCACACTAATCAAACCTGTTCAAGAAAAATTAACCAACTTTTCTAAAATCAGTTTTTTTTTTTAAAACCCTCACCCTAAACTCTCAAGTTTACTTAGATTTAAGATAGTAAATTTGCACCCCAAACGCTCCACAAAAGAAATGAAGAAATGAATTTAAAAGGATTAGATCTATAGTAAAACATAATTGGTTTAATGCTATCAACACATTAAAAGAGTGCATTTTGCAGTTTTAGAACTCAAAAGAAACACCAAAATAAAATTGGTCCTCTCGCTTGTCAGCACGTATTTGGGCATTAGCTTGAACAAGCTAAAGACGAGGCAGGCCACACAAAGTCACTTCTGACTAACCTACGAAAGCTCAGTTCGTTACCGACGAAAAATCAACTGATTGGCCAACACTTTCCAAAACTTCTCTAGAAAAAGGCGGAGTCCATCCCTCACAAAGCTACTCAATATAACGCGATTCCTACTAAGCTCGACTCGGCATCAATTCAAACTAAGTACTCACTTAAACTTCAAAAGTTAATATGTGTTCGAATTATAGCTGGACCAAACAAGAATCTAGCCAAGTTCAGACTCTAAAACGTACCAACTCATCCAAAATCTTGCATCTAACAACTTTTTAATCCAAAGATGCCCTTATCAAAGTGTACAAAAAGACATCTCTCCCAACAATTTCATTAAACAGTGAAACCGACATTAGTGATTGGTTGGGAAGTTGATATTAAAGAAAAGAAATTAGGCATTTTGGATTTATAGAAGTCCAATTAGGTTCACATTTTAAACCCAAAAGCCGAAGAAAATGACCATTTAGAAGAATCCAATCCTCAAATCCAATTGGGCTCTTCTTCGTCAAACAATCAAACAAAACATCCTCTTCTCTTTTTCTTCCAACCTTCTTTCTCTTTATAATAATTACATTTTTTTTGACGAGTAGTAATGCTCTTTTTCTTCTAATTTTGAATTTCTTTTCGTTAATAGTTCATCTTAATTGTTGGATCCTACGTATTCTAATTAAACTATAATATTGATGTGGCTGATAATGAATGAAATTATTATTCTAAAATATAGTAGGGAGAAATTTCTAGCACTCTGATCCACATAAATAATTCTTTAACGTTGCTTGACTCTAGATCATTCATAAACAATGTTGTGTAGTAGATAATAAATTATCCATATAATAACGTAGTATCGAAAAATTCCCTCTCTCTTAGTCTTGTCACGTTTGTCATTCACATTTGAAGAGGTCAATTTGAACATAGCTTAAGTGAATGAAACATCGATTAATATCTCTATGATCGATGATTCGATCTCCCATCGTACGATTGTGGTACTGAAGTTGGAAAGAGGACGGGAGAGAGATAGGGGCGCGTGGACGAACACGTGAATTGTGTGAGAGTTAGATTCGTGGAATGTGAATTGTTAGGTGGAATTGTAACCTAATAATTAACCTTCTTTCTTTGCCCACTTTCTGGGTCGGCGAGTGGGGGCGACGCGCCGCCAAATCAGAGTCCAGGGCTGTGCATTGAACTGAGACGATGCGTGGTTTCCAAGAAATACCATTTTAGCTTTTTAACTTTTAACATTTCATATTTTTCTTCTTCCATTCTCCTTTTTCCATTTTCACAATTCTCTCTCTGCCTCCAATTCTAACGTATTTGGACACGTGGATATGTTGCGTAAACATATCACTAGAAAAAATTAATTTTTAATTGACTGGTTTGGATTAGATTGGATTGTGTGTGAGTTGAATTTCACGTGTCAAGTAATACATGAGCAGCATGTTTCTAGAACAATAATTTCAGAATTTATTAGATTTTTGTCAAGGTTTTAAATGTCGATGTTGATGAAAGTGTAGAAGTCTCAATTTTTTAGAATTTTTTATAGAAATATTGATAAAATATCGACGTCGATAAATATTTTTAGAAATATTATAAAACTAAAAAGTTGGTAACGGATATTTTAAATAACGAATAAGCATTTGACTATTTTTAAATAAGTTAAAAATGATTCATTAATTTTATGTTGATAATTGATATTATGTTTGATATTTCTCATATTTTTTTTATTTTTTATTCTTGAATTCGTGGACACATGGAAATGTCGATTAAAATTTAATACTTTTGCTTTTTGCTCACAATTCAACTTAATTAATTAACACATATTTTTTTTAGTCAAAGCTTCGAAGCTCCATCTCTATTATTATTTTTTTTTAAAAAAAAGCTTAACTTGTTTGGTACAGGATATTAAATTTCTGTCAACATGTCAACATTTCCGTCGATATTTCCATATGTCATGAGTTCGACATCAAGAAGTAAATCGACATTTTCAAAAGCGAGCATAATTGAGCGATAATTGATATATATCTCCAACCAAGAGGTTGTAAGTTCGATCCCTTATCCTCACAGGTTGTACTAAAACAAAAAAGAAAGTAAATCGACATTTCTATAGTATTAGAAAAAGATCGATAAACATAAAAATTATCAATAAAATATTACTAATATACAACTAATATTAGTATTAATATAAATCGTTTTTTTATTTATTTAAGAAGGGCGAAATACTTATTTGTTAATTTAATTAAATATTTTTTATTTTTATAATCTTATTAAAATATCCATGGAAAATAATATTTTTACGATTTTCGTAAAATTGAGATATTTGTATTTATGTCGGACATTTAACATGTTTGGTAAGAGAGAGAATACCAAAATTAAACATCACGTGAAGACAGCGAGAAAAGTGACTGGAATTTCTTCACTTTCTTGAAAAATAAAAAGAAAATAAAAAAGAGAAAAAAAAGGAAAAAGGAAAAATGAAAAAGAAAATAATAAATAAAACATAATTGTGACCGTGAGTGGTTTCTCTTTCTGTGGGCGATACGTGAAAATACTGCTACGAACGTTTTTGATAAAATTACAAATTTGCCTTTGCAAAAAATAGAGAAAAACTACCTCTCAAAAAAAAAAAAAAAAACCAAAAATACAAAATTGGTTTTAGTTTCATGGATATGTTTTAATAATGATTTTTATTAAAGAGACGATATGCAGACATGGCACCGATCATTTTTTGAAAAAAATTAAACAAACTAGGCACTCTTTTACACCGTCGTCCCTTCAATAGACGACAACGTTGTTTTTTAAAAATAGTAATAATAACATCATTTAATGTATTATATAATACAAATGGTATATGTACATCAAAATTATGTTATAGTATACTGGGAGGTGCCTAGATTGTTATCCATGCAAGCTTAAGTTTGAATCTCAGTCCTATCTATTATATATACCAGTTCAATACCACGTGCAACGTAATAAAAATATTTATTTTATTTATTATAAAAATAATTTATTTAACTAAATTAGTATGTACTTTAGGGTTTATAAAAACATCATAGGTTTATTAAATATATTTTATTATATTTATAATTGTAAAAACATAAAATTAAAGTTAATTATTAATAATAAAATAAGTTAAAAAGTAAAAAAAAAAAAGATAAAAATGATATCTAAATATAAAATATGAATCAAATCAATTTTCAATATGATATTTGATGATAGAGATATATAATAATAATAAGAAGAAATAGGAGTGGGAAGTTGACTATCTCAGAGGAAAAAAAAAGAAGAAAGAAAGTTGATTATTTCTAAAATTAAAAAAAAATTAGAATGTAAAAACAAATTCAAACTCATGCTATGAGGGTTGATGCTTTATATAATATACCGTAATCCTTCCCTTTTTTTTTTTACAAAGCAATGTTGTCATCCTTTGTCGAGGCGATCAAAGTAA